CATAGGAGGAACGGGGACCACGTATTAAGTGCCTCTATAACAAAGTGATCACCGCTTCCGGCCTTAGTAGTAGCCAACGGCTATAACGGCTTGTGTCCGGCATTGGAGGAAAAATCGAGTTCTTTACATTTATTAAACTTTTCTTAGAGTTTTATTAATGATTAAAAAGCATGAGAAAGATTGTTTTGTGACATCCTCTTTAGAACTGTGGGCGTGGCATTTTTTTCATCCTCATCTGGGGAGGGAGTGAAACTTTCCCACACATCTGTTTTTTCAGTGTTGAGAAATCCCAGAAATCACATGTTATTATTTTGGCTATATGCTGAGTTTTCTAGTATTGACTGAATCGGTTTTAAATAGTTCTGCCAATGCCGCAGCAGTGTGATGAAACCAGGAATTGTCCTGGCGCAAACCCGTTTCCTCGTGAGTCCATGCAAATGGTTTGCAATATATTTACATGACATCTATATTCACTGTCTACCCGGGGGGTACAATATCCGAAACGTACCAGTTAACCTGCCAAACGAGCTTTGTAGATCACTCATGTGTTAGTGCCTAGAAGTGCTGATTAAAATATTGACACATGGCTAAACCTTTCATGCATCTTATGCATACATCAATATTTTAACTGTTTTGTTAAGGCTGTTTGTTCCCAAATTAAACACAAAACTCAATAACACCTCTGCCGTGTAGTCACTTACACGTTTTCCTCACTTACCGCGACAAAATCTGCGAAGTATTTGAACTCGCTGCGATCAAAAATTGAAGGTCACGGTTATTAAATTCTAAGACAAACACTTCAGTGCATCCAGTACAGGATTGCTAAGTCTAAGATCATGAAAAAGAAGCACTCACAAAAACTTTCAGTCAGCCCTTGTGAAGAATAAAAATGAAAATTTCACTTGAAGAATAAAAATAAACTCATATATCAACGTACTTCTGAAGGATAATATTTTTATTACTATTAAAACAACGTTAACATAAAAGGAAGTCGATATTAGTAAGCCACTTAAAGATTTATAAAGTATGCGCATACGCATTAGTATCATAATTAGAAAGAGTTATTTTTCATCTTAATGGGACATATTTTGGCTTGAGTTGTACGAAATATAATTCTGCGCGATGGCATTCAAGCAGAAGTGGAAGAAAAAAAACAACTAATATAAATGTGTGAAACCATTAATCCATTTCGAGTCACCTCGTAATACATTTGCCTACTATTTTTAGGAACAAAGAAGTCTTTTTCTTTGACAGTGGGAGTGAGCCACGCTCTTGCGAAAGCAAGAATCTCATGTCAAAAGAGAAAAAGCTGCTATTTTACTTTCACCTGAGAATTTCGGCGTATCTAGAATAAAGCCGGCAATGATCCAAGGCAATGAAAAGACTGAAAGGGCCCCTCATCTTTCAACAGGACAGGGAGGGGGTGGGAACAGAAAAGTGTTTTTCGAGAAATCGTTTATACACAAGAGAAGCTTTGTGAAATATTTGACGCTATCTTCTTACCATTGCCTCACTCTTTATACACATTTTTGTCTTAATAACCTGATATTGCGGCTTACTAATCCAAGAATTTAATCTGATATATATCTCTACATTAATGAACTTAATTTATTCATATACAAGAAGAAGATAGTAATGCATTACTGAGACACTAGAGATAATTATTTTATCGAACGCAAACTCCACAAACTCTGGGTAGTATTGTAGAGACATTAGGTTATTTCGGAAGAAAGAGATATGAAAAATGAGCAACGCCTTCGCCGGAAATCGAACCACGGACCTCTGGAATACGCGCCCAGGGTGCAGACCACTACACTACGAAGGCATGCTAAAAAGGCGGAAGAAATACCTTGTACTATTACTAATAAAACAAAATAAAATAAAAAAATCATAGTTTTCATTAATTTCAGTAATTTGAATTAATATAAAGTCATTTAATGCACAGGCATTAAAATTTTTAAGAGTTCTCTTAGAAAATGTATCCACTTCCCTGTGCAAGTTCCATTTGTTTCCTTAACGGAATGCGGAAAAGCAGACAAGGATTACTTGCCTTAAGCGGATGGATACCTTCGTGAGGGAACTTGTAAAAAATGAGCTCGTACGCATAAGCGAAATATTCATGAAGCCAGCGCATTCCCCCGAATTTGAACTTACGTTCACCTAAAAGTGTTCAGAGAATTTATTCACTATAGGGCTGCAAGTTTTGTACTGTCTCCAGCAGTAATTTGCTTTATTTCTATGGATACTGAAAGAAACTTTGCCTGTTTAAGTTATAAAAAGAAATTAGCTATAAAATAACTTAGATTTCCTTTTCTTGGGAACGAAATATCGAAACTATTTAATGATTACTTTCTCTTTTAAAGAAAAGAGACACATACTATACATCCTTTAAAATGCATACTTCCGGGAAGGGGAGCTTCTAAGCTACGCTTATATTTTTAGCCTAAAGACTTTTTGGTTGCACTTTCAAATAGCAGGAGTATAAGAAATATCTATACTCCCTTGCTAATTTTATTTCAAATAAAGAAGTTAGAGCAAATATGAAATTAGAATATACAAGGTCCAGCTATTAATTTCCAGGACTGACGTAACTGTAGGAGAACGAAAAGTCGGAAGATGGCGCTAATGATTGAATATAGAAGAGCGTTTCCTTGCGCATGTACAGTGCAATCGGTGCCATTCTGAAGTAAGTGGCTCTCGTGGAAAGGCGTATTAAAACGTAGCTCTTAAATTTCTATTGTCGAAGTGAAAATAGAGCAAAGAATTAACATTAAATTTTGCTTCAAATTGGGCAAGACAGCTTCGGAAACCTACGAAATGTTAAAACAAGTTTACGGCGAGGAAGCATTATCCCGCTCAAGAACTTTTGAATGGTTTAAACGCTTTCGGGACGGACAAGAAAGCTTCGAAGATGATCCACACACAGGTCGGCCGCATTCCGTACGCACCCCGGAAGCAATTGAAAAAGTTCGCGATATGGTGAAATGTGATCGTCGATTGACTAGTCGAATACTCGCCAATGAATTCAACATGGACAAAGAGACGGTTCGGCGAATTTTGACGCAAGACCTAGGCAAACGCAAGATTTGTTCCAGACTCGTTCCTTACCATTTAAGGGATGAACAAAAGCAATTGAGACTGGACGCATGTGGCGAACTTATCGATAACGCTGATGCTGACCCTGCGTTCCTGGATAGGATAGTCACGGGAGACGAGTCTTGGTGTTATCAATATGACCCTGGAACCAAGCGTCAAAGCTCCGAATAGCAGTCTCCAAGCTCACCGAGGCAGAAAAAATTTCGATTTGAAAAGTCCAAAATCATGTTATCGCTTTCTTCGATTGCGATGAACTCATTCATCATGAATTTCTTCCTTCCTAACATGACTATCAATGGACAGTTCTACCACATAAGTTCTTGACCGACTTCGAAAAACGAATTCGTAGAGTGAGGCCTCATTTTCAACAAAAATGGGAGTTGGCTGCTGTTACATGACAATGCCCGCCCACATACTGCGTTGCCTGTGAGGCGATTATTAGCCCAGCATGGTGTCGTTGAAATGCAGCATCCACCATACTCTCCAGGCCTAGCACCCGCAGACTTTTTCCTGTTTCCTAAGCTGAAAAATTCGCTGAAGGGAACAAGATTTCAGGATGTCGAAGCGATCAAGAAAACTGGAACGTCGCTATTAAAGAGCATTCCAAAAGAGGACTTTAAAACTTCTTTCCGAAATTTGTACAGCTGAGCACAGACGTGCATTACGGCTGATGGGGATTACTTTGAATCATATTAAATGGCTATGTGTTTAACCTTTTTTTTCTTCTGAGTTATTCCATGAGTCCTGGAAATTAATAGCCGGACCTTGTATATACATACATACACAATAAAATATATGCAGGGTATTTTCGAATTCGAGCGACAAATTCAGCATTGAGAGGATGAAAAATTGCTACAGAACATGGGGTCACCAACCACATTTAGTGGGTTCAAATCTAAAAAATACACGGGATCGTTCCAAATAACGATGCGTAATGCAGAGCAAGAACGCGATGTGCGCACGCCTGAAACAGACAACCGAGTATTGCAACAGTTTGCCATTGCACAGCTCGGTATATATTATAGCTTTCTCTTGCTGTATCATAATATCTTCAGTGATAGATTTTCACAGCGATACTCTAACAAGTGGCTTTTGTGTGTGTAGCAGATTTTCACTGATATATCTAAATAACAATTATTCACAAATAGTCTTAGTAATGGTTTCTGTGATATCAAACGAAACTCTGACTTACTATCACAAAGATTGTTGAAAGAGGTCGCTATTTTCAATTGAATATGCAATGAGCTTTCCTGTATATCCAAGTAAATCTTGCCTGTGCTGTACATATATCTACTGATTACTGAAGGTGAACACGGTGAGAGTTCGTAAAATATGTGAAAAAAATTAGTGTATTTCTGGCTTAGTGTAATGAAATTTGATGCTAGCTAGCTAGATTATGTTAGTAAATTTTTAAAATGTCTCATGAGTTCCGAATAGCTGTATATTATAAAATTTGAAATCTGGTTTAAAACTGGAAAAAAATTTCATAGCATGTCCGTATATCTTTACGATTATTGGTTATTTCTAAAGTATCGTGCAATTTGTCCCCCGTTAAGTGTTCGAGATACGTGTCTATAAGTAACGATGTCCGTCGATAAATGTTCGAAAAGGTTTCAGAAGGCATGACCACTTAAACTATGATTTTTAACAAATTTAAGCTATGATTTAGTTTAAATAGGATATTTTAAATGCATTGCAATTTATTGCAAAATTTATGCTTTGTCAGAAATTTAAGCTATGATTTTTCGCTCATATAGAAGCTGGGACTGAAATATGAGGTCCAAAATCTGATAATTGCAAATAATGGAAATTTAATGACTGAATCAACTTCATTGCTGTATTTATGTACTGCATCTAAACTAATTGATAAAAAGCATTAAAAGAATTTCAGTTTTTTTACTTACTTGGATTCTGTGATTCTCTTTATCACATACATAAATGAAACCAAGGTTGTCCGTTGCTACTCCCCAGGGGTAACTAAATTTGCCTTCCATTCTGCCTTCGCAACCGAATGCTCGAATGAATCGTCCATTGGGATCGAATACTTGCAACCTGTGATTGTAGCGATCTGATACAATATATTGACCGATTCTATTGACCGTAACGGCTGCTAGGCAGTCGAATTCACCTTCGCTGCTGCCATAGGATCCAAATTCCTGGATGAATTTGCCAGAAGAGTTGAAAACCTGAAGCGAATAAAAATATTTCTGTGTTAACTGTAAAAGCATAAACATTAAACATTTTTTTAAAATTACTTCGGTAAGCCTTTATTGAAACCATGTTCCCAAACATACAGTTCGGAGCATTTCTTTGCTATCCATTACAATGTTATACAGGATTATTCATAATTCTGTGAGAAAGTTTAAAAATTCATATCAAATAAACTACCGCACTAATCATGGCAATTCTTATGTGAATAGAAGAAACCACTCTCTGAAATTTTTTAACAAAAGCTTGATTGATATTTGATGTGCTTTTCCAATAAGATATAACAATATGGCATTCTCTCAGTGTAAGACAACCATTTATTTGTGTGTGGGAACGCACTTTGCCAAATTATGAGTTTGAGAGAATACAATATTTATAACCCTGACGTTTCTTTTTTTCATAACTAAAGGAATACTTGATGCCTCGTTGTTTGCATTGAACTGTTCAGATTAAATTATCTTAAAGATTTATAAGCATTAACGCCATAGTAATAGTATGTGAATATATTCCTTATCACTCATACTATATTCCATCTACATCTAATTTCGTGTAAATTCCTTAAAATCTTTGCTGCTTTCAGTTTACTCTTTGAAGGCACTGATATAAGCAATTTTCCTAATAAGCTTTTCCCGACTGCGTCATTTTCGAATTATGTTACAAAAAAAAATTAAGTGCGCATGAATCGGTAGAATGGTAAAAACTCAGTTTCCATGCAGTAAATTAGCACTAAAATTCGTAATAAATTATATTAAATTCCTTTTTTTTTACATTAGTATTTCTTCCTCTAATAAACAACAAAAACTGATTTTGAATAACGGTTAAGAAGTAAAGGAATAATTTATTATGTTATAAATTTTAAAAAATGAAATGTTTGATCTAGCCCTATGAAATATAAATAAATGTATTTCATTAAAATTCTCACTTTATTCATAATATTATTTTAAGAAAATATATTTACGAGTTACACTTTTTGACTGTTACCTGAACTCGATGATTGTTGCTATCAGCTACAACTATAGTATTATCAGGTCCTACACATACACCTCTCGGCCAGGTAAAGAATCCGTGCTCAGTGCCTCGAGAGCCAAACTTGAAGCATGTCTTCCCTTTTTGCATATAAGTCCTTCTTGGAAGACTAAAACCTCTAGGAGAATTGCTGTCTCCTCGCCGACTATAATCTCGTCTTCTTGGAGTATCGTCTTCATCGGAACTGTTGTCACTGCCGCTTTTTGCGGTAGCAAGAGAAGAAGATGTTCGGCTTCTAATGAGCCCTGAAGTGGCTGCTCGTCCTGATGATCCATACTTGTTTTTCAGGTATTGCGACCAACTGCGAGGAGCTTCTTCTGGACTTTTTTCCCTTGTTCTTCGTGTCCTATAACGATTACGTATAGCGGTCAATGCGTCGTCTTCTGGACTATCCTCCGCTGGAAAGAGATCATGAGAACTTTTACTTCTAGCAATTCGATTTCTCCTCGACGAGTACGAATCTTCAGGGCTTAAGTCGCGGACTCGACTACCAGATGTAATGCTTGACCGTCTTCCATCATAAAGACGACTGTAAGGAGACGTTCGACCTTCTGGTTCAGCTGTAACAGATGTCTTTCTCCTAGAAAGAATATTATATAGCATTAGTATGTTGACAAGGTGCTCTTGAATGGCATGATGCAAAGCTTTCGAGTTGCTGAATATACTGCCAATTGTAATTAATCTCTCTGTTCAAAAGAAGATGGATGAATTAATGCAACTGAAATAATCTTTTCCATTATAAAAAGAAATAAAATAATATTAGAAATTTAAAAGACAAAAAATATTAAGCCGTAGGAAATTACATATTAAGATTTTTAAGTACATACTATAATCTCTGTTCATAAAATTACAACACCAAAGAATAACATATAAAATACCATAAAAATTTTGTTTCCAGATAGTTGGTTGGTTTGATTATTAACTGATCGAGGGAAATACGAAAAAGCCATCTGATTAGGTGAGATGCCTATATGGAGGACTGTCTAAGGTAAACTGTTTCGTACTCAAACTAAGCAAAGAGTAAAACCCGAAAATGCTGTGCAACCAGACATTCCATCGAGATTCAGTTTTAAAATGAATGGCTACTGTTCAGAAATATTATCCACTCGGCCGCGGTATTGAGGCATAATAAATCATAAAAAATAGTGGAGATATTTACAACAACGCAATATATGCAGATTTCCTAACATAATTTCATATCCCTATGACATGACCGATGTGGTACGGATTTGTATTGAGGCATAAGAGTGAGCTGCTGAGAATATTTCTCTGTACTTATATTTCCTTAATTTGACCTAGAAAGCATTGCTTGTGATGCTTGCAATATGCATCTTGTAAAGTAAATGTCAGTAAAGTGAAAAGAATATGACAGCAAAGGATTCGAAGAAAACCAGGCTACGAAACGGAAAGACAAGCGTTACATGAGGTTAGAAGAGTGTTGTAGATTGTCATGACAGAGCTAATAGTCAATATGAAAGCATCTTGCCATAGTTCCAAAGATTAAAAGAAAACAAAACATCTTTTAGAGATATTAGGGTTTTTTTTTAAAGCAGGAAAGATGAAAAATTAACAACGCCTTAGCCGGGAATCGAACCACGAACCTCTGGAATACCGGCTCAGTGTGCTGACCACTAGACCACGAAGGCACGCTAGGAAGCCGGGAGAAATACCTTACATACTCAACTATTAAAGAGCGACTGGGGTTTTTAGGGGACCCAATCGCCAAATCCTTGGTGTGGAGAGTCATCATCACAACCCTTTTAGTTCCGGCGCCACTGTAGAGACATTAGGATTTTTTTTAAAAGCAGAAAAGATGAAAAATTAACAACGTCTTTGCCGGGAATCGAACCACGGACCTCTGGAATACCGGCTCAGTGTGCTGACCACTACACCACGAAGGCACGCTAGGAAGCCGGGAGAAATACCTTACAACCAACCTTATTTCAATTCTGCTGTTTATATACATTACCAATGTGGGATAAAGGTAACACTCAGTTGTCATCAGCGGCACCAGATAGTGTTTATAAGATAAAAGAGGATCCTCCAATTTAAATCTTGCAATTTTTAATATTGCATTACATTTTAATGATTAGTTAGCACTGGGTTCACAAAAGGCTGACAAAAGGCTCACAAAAGATAAAATGGTTCAGGCATAAATTTTCCTCATGTGTAACGTAAATAGAGTCATTTTCCTTAGGTAAGTTCTGAAGCCAAGAAGGCATCTCTAACCACCTAGCTTTATAATGTATGCTATAAAAAGCCAGGCGGCGGTACATGCTTACATTTCGGAACTCTCAAATGGTAGTTCTCCTTTTAAGCACCATGATTAGATTTGAAATTGTTTAATAATTTACGGTATAGTAGTCCTATGACTAAAACTTCCTGACAGTGTTACCTTCTGTAGTTCGCGTTAGAGAAAATAATAGAAGCATGCATCCAAATTTCACCGGAACCAAAGAGCAACTTCATTTTTTATGCTGTACCTCTATACGGGCTACATTATAACTCACTGAGTGTTAAATGTTGAACAGTGGCTTTCTTTGGGCCAATGTGAATACTAACCGGTTTCTCCTAGAAATTACTCCATAAAAGCATCCTTTCCTTTACGTAGTTATTCTTTGTGAGAATTTAAATAATTTAAATCCAAGTGTCCATGTTTTTATTTGTCACTAATATGAATAATTTTTTTGGTAATAACTGAAGTTCTGCAGTTGTCATTATTCAGGTAATAAAACGAAACTCATTAAATGTGTTTGAGTTTCATTTCGTTATCTATTTGCTAGAAATATAAGGTTTTGCACAAAACTATGCATGGTTTCTTTCGAATGCAGAAGAATTTCAAAGCAAAAGCGTATTATGACACTCAAGCAAAGAATTTCAGCTGTGATAAAGTTAAAGAGAATATTTAATTATTTGGAAGCATTAAGATGTAGCTTTATTTTTAATATATATAAAGAATAAGAAATGTATTTCTTATTCTGATCTTAAGAGAAAGGCGCTTTAAAGAGTATGTTTATAATTACAAGCTGAATTAAGCCTATTATGGTGTCAGAAAACTCCTCAAGAATACGCAGAAATGAAGCACAAGTTTTTGACATTTACTTATTTTTTTTTAAACTGTAAGAACACACAGATAGAAATAAAAAAAAAAAAAAAAAAAAAAAAAAAAGAAGAAGAAGAAGAAAACAGTGATGTAATGATGCCTCGTTATAAGGCTTGCAAGATCGAAGTTAGAGCAGATTGAGGTAAAACTAGGGGTAAGAAGCTCTTGGGAAAAAAGTGATGGGTAGACTGCATGCAGACATTTGAGAATATTTTATAAATTTTCATCGATTAATAAAATCGCTACAGCAAAAAGAAAGAGATCCGAAACTGTATGAGGATGCATGCACTAGTTCATAAACTGCAGTAAGGTACATGCATGTGTTTGAATAATGAAATGGAAATTTTACAAATTCTCATCAATCTTAAAAGAAAGTATACCCTGCTTTTCTTTTTTAATCAGCTCTGAGTTTTACAGATTTCTATCGCCCTGAAAGAAAACAGTCTCATCGATAGGTCATTTACTCGATTTTGAGAGGTATAAGTCTTAGAAATGAATTTTACATCATTACACTTGCGGACTGTTTTATCTTACCTAGATGATAAAATATCCCTTGAGGGTTCCTCCTCCTTTCGAATGGAGTCTCTCCAAGACCTGTTCGATGGTCTGGATGACTTGTCATCTTGTCTGCCTAGAATTCTGGCTTGTGTGGACGCACTTTGTTTTCTGGCTTGAGCACTGCGAGCTAGCAGTGTGTTAACAGAAGGACTTATATCTCCTCTATTCACTGCAGTCTCACTATCTACTTCGTCATCACTGTCGCTTGAGGAAGTAGAGCTGCTGTCGCTGACAGAAGGGGATCTGGGATCAGGTCGAAAGGCCAGTCTCAACTTCGGACGGTCCTCTTTCCTGTTCAGTGGACCTGAGCGAGGGGCAGGTGTGAGATTCGAACGTCGTTGGGTAGGAGATGTAGTGCTGTTGTCAGTCGGAGAAGAGTCCTCTTTTTCTAAGGATGTATTTTTTGTTAAGAATGGACGGCTGGCTGGTCGTCTAGAATTAGAGAATCTAGTTACTGCTAGGAGACGATTTACACTGTTGACTCGTGCAATATGTAACTTTTAACTTTTGTAACTTCTAGATATTCTGAGTACATAATATACACACATATCAAAATTAAAACTTATTTATTTAAATTTTTATTAATCTCACTGTGAATAAAAAGCATAAAGAAAGCCTCCTGTAATAAAATACAACCCAAAGTAAAGTTCCTAAAGCGAAGTTATTCTTTAAAGCTCGGGAAAGCTGAAAGAATTGGAAAAAATACCATTCAGCAAAAGAGGGATATTATGAAAAGTTTATATTTTCCCGTAAAATATGTTTCCAATAACTTATAAAAATTAAATATTCATTTTTCTAATAACTCTAATTCATTTTTCTAATAATGTCCTTGAAGTTGAAAAAGAAGAACTGTTTGTAAAACATTGGTGATCCATGCTAACTAATTCTGAGTGTTATCTTGATGCCTTATTATAAAAATCTATCATTTATATTATAATCAATACTCTGATTAATTTTTATACGGTTAAAGAGTATTTCTTTGTAAAATTAAATTTGCATTCTGAATATAGGCCTTAAAAGTTTAAAGAAACACTACTTTAAAATCTGCACAGACTTGAAATAGGGACCAGATCACATGCAAATGTATGGATTGTTTTTAATGATTTTTTTTTACAACATGAAATTAATTTTATTTAACAAATTGTCTGCAACCTTTATTTTAAGTTCTTTTAACAATTGAGTGAAAAACTGCACTATCTTTCCTCTGATTCGAGTCAGACATATTCGTTCACGTGAGACCACGTGAAAGCATGCCTAGGAAATTTAAATGAAGGTTAACTGCAGTTCTTTATACATCATTATGTGTGGTGAGTTAATTCTAACTGGCGACTGTTCGTCCCTTTCTGGCTACTTGAGTATGGAAAGGAAATACTGTAATTATTCTTGCATTTTTTCCTAGCTTTTTGGTGCCTTTTCCTGCAAATTTTTAAAATATTCGCGTAATTTTCTCCTTCCTCAATGTGTTTAGAGAACGAACTCGCCTAAATTTTGAAATTGACTTGTCTACATAGTAATTGTTTTCGTCTTACACATAAAGACAAATCTTCGAAAACTACCTGCACAGGTCACGTCGAATGTTTACCTATAGATTGTTGAACTTTATGTCAGCCTGCTGCAAAATACCGACCGATCACGGCGAAACTAACATTCTGCGTACGATTTCGCTGACTTTCGTTGTCAGGAAATGAAGACAAGAAAAGCAGAAACGAAGACGTCTTATTAGACATTTAATATTACTTATTTAATTTTAATATTACTATATATTCTTATTGGAATGTTAAAGATGTAAAGACATTAGGTTATTTCGAAGCAAGAAAGATGAAAAATGAGCAATGTCCTCACCGGGACTGGAACCACGGACCTCTCGAATTCGTTTTGAGCGTGCTGACCACTACACCACGAAGGTATGCCAAGAAAGCGGGAGAAATACCTTATAAAGTAAGGGGGTTTTAAGGTTTCTTTTAAAGAAATAATATTTTGATAGTTACTTGTAGTTTATCTATGACTACTTTTCATTTGGTATGTTCTTACTGCAAACGCATCCTTTGGAAATTAAACTATTTGCATGATTTTCCCCTGTCGAATTGCGGACGATAAAATTAGTAAAAAAAAAAAAAAAAAGAGAAAAGAATATGGGAGGAAATATGGTAGCATTGGTCTGGGAGAGAGCGTTCATTTCATTTCGTCCTAGATGATAAGTGAACAATGATGAAATTCAGTCGCATTTCTTAAAGAGGTATTCATTTGATAACTTTACGCTGGTAAAAGGGCATATCACTTGATTTGTTAACAAGTTCTGTGTCAGCATGGAAAATTGGCAGATTTGAGTTAAATATTTTTTCTTCAATTGGGAATGACTATTCGTGGTGAAACAAAAGTTTATTGATTTTAATCCCTGGTTTGCTAATCTGATTTTCCTCAGGGTGATATTTCGCTACAGTTATGAAGTAACTCACAGATTAGTAGGTGAACAGACCTTCAAGATAGCTTATAGAACAGAGTTACATGACTGAGAATTTTTTTTGACTAGATGTGACTAAAAGTCTTGTTACTCTTGTTTCGGTTTTGATCATTACTTTCAAGACATTAAACCTTTTTTTTATATATCAAACAATTTATGTTTTCATATCAAACAGTGATTTTCTAGAAAGATTTTGTATCTTGCAGTACAACTGGGATTTCGGAATGATGTGAATGAACTGTAACAGAGACCAAAATTTATCAGTAAATCACCTCATTCCATTTCCTAAAGTGTTCTCATGAGAATAGAAATTTTGTAGTAAGGAATTTTTTGTCCTTTAATCTCCATATACAAACAATACATATCACAAAAAATATGGGCCCTGCAACATTTTTATATTTTTCGTAATCTGACTGAACTTGAAAAAAGATGAGTTTGAAGAACAGCAACCTGAGGCACTTGATTCTGATAACTATGAATTCATGAGATACTTGGTTATAAATTTGTGGTATTATGGGTTTGAAAATTATTCAGATTTAGGAAAGCCGAATGAAACTTCATTTTATATTTAAAACGAAATCGATTGCCTACTGGGAAATACATGATTTCTTCGAACTGTTTCAAAATGTTTAATTACTTTTATGTACGTTAACAGTTTATTAACTAATAATTGAAGTATGCTTTATTCCTTTGAGAAAATTTTATTCACCTTCAAAGCACTAACCATTATATGATATACTCATATTATGAAATCCTCTCAGGAATGTTCCGATTGGCTATTATTGAATGTGTCTTATTTAATAACTATTAGTAAAGCTAAATAATGGCTCTATTCTTTCAATAAATTTTCATTATTTCAGAGAGAAAAACACTATGCTAAAAAATTGGATCTTTCTTTCTTCAGTTTACGCAATCATTCAATGTTCATTGAATCATTCAGTTCGTCAATCATTGAAACTGCTGCAATTCATTGCAGCAGTTTACTGCTAATAAAGAATCAGTATTCTAATTTATACGCATTTAAAGTTAACCTAAGTGACAAGTAACAACCAGACAGAGGGTAGCGTAAGTAAATGGCATTTTTAAACTCTAATGGGCTACATACTTTTTTGTTCCGTATACATAAAAAGGGGAATTTATAAAGTAAATTGACATAATATAATAATAAGCACTTTTATTTCTGAGTCTGGTTAAATTTTGCACCATCAAAATATATATTCGCAAACTTATTAGCAAAGCACTTTTACATGAACAAAGTTGGTAATGAATTTTACAACGCAAAGCCTTTGAAACCTGAGATAGACTCAAAAACAAACTTGAATTTTTTGAAGATTCTTAGTATCACAAATTCAGACATCGTAAGATTTTCAGGGTTTTATTTTGTCAGCTCTGAACACACTTCCTTACTAGGAATTTTTTTGAATTTGATATAAACTAAAATAATTCATAGTAAAACGTTCTTTAGATTTTGTCCAACTTGATGTTGAATTTATATCATTCAAGGCGGTATTTTCTCAGAATTATAAATACTGAATATTTTCATCTTTTCAGTGAGACAGATGAAGTTTTCACGTATCAGATTAACTTTATAATACTAGCTTATGATGACCAAAAAGCAGCCAAAAAATTCAGCTGTAAATATCATATTAATACAACAGATTTTGAAATAACAACTGGTAGTTCAAGTCATTTGTTAATTTGGCAAACAACTTCGGGGAAAGCCTTATTAGCTTTATAAAATGAGCAAGAACACTTGAGTTAGTTATGGAAGCAAAGCAAAGGATATACATGCAGCCAGTTTACTTAATAAACTTATTGTTCACCTACCCTGTTGGTGTTGGCCTCGGCGAAACTGGGGGTTTTTGTGTATCCCTTGTTCTTGTCGGAGAACCAGGAGGACTTTGTGACACTTCTCTTTCTGTCACAGCACTATTATTTGTTCTCCAACTTCTCAGTCTTGGGGATGGAGTTTGTGTATCTCTTTGACTTCTTCGAGTTGTAGAATCTTCTAACGTGTCTCTTGAAGATCTAGTTCTAGGTGGACTCGAATCTTCCAGAGTAGTTCGAGATGATGAATATTTTGATAAATAAGAGCGAGCAGGTGATTCTTCAGGTTTTGCTGTTGTGGATGTTTTTGGTGTTCTTGAAGTTTCACTTCCTAATACGGTCTTCAGAAAAATTGCGCTTATTAGTTTCATTGCCGTAATATGATTATATTTAACTTAACATTTATTTTAATTCTAACGAATAAAAATAAATTCTAGTATTACGGTAAAAGAAAAAGATAATTTTAAGGAGTAACTATCTGAAAAGAAATGCTAAAATCAGGCATTTTTGATACCAGCAGGCTTAAGTCATCAGAAAATAAATCAGGAGATATGATGGTTATTTTTTCAAGTATTTTGTGTAAAAATTAGTAAAACGCTTACGTTGACATCCGATTTTATCAATTTTAAGACTTGCATAATGCAGTCTTAAGCATAATTTATGCATATCCAAGTCAATTCATAATTCAGATAATAATGCAAGTCTTCTTGATGGAGAAAGTGGCATGAATTTAAATTAATTTTACTTACACGAGATTCACCTTTTATATCTAGTTTATTTGGTTATGGCTAACATTTCTCTCTTTTTCTTTCTTTAACGGATCTTGATCTGATTTCATAATAAGTTTAAAAATGGTCTATTTGAGCTTATTTTACAGTATAGGCTTAGTTTGAAAAGAAAATAAATCTACAGCATGTACAAAATAAAGAAAAATTATGGACCTTTTACAGCCAAAAATAATAGCTTTATTTGATCAACAATATCGCACTTAAACTGTGAAGGTTTCTTTAAACTTTCTGCGGATAAATTTACAATGGCTTCCGACAAATCTGCCTATTAACTTAATTTTCCACTGTAGTCTAATAATTATTTACTTTCAATTATAACGCGCCAATATTTATCAGAAAATATATATAAAATATAAAATAAAAAAAGATAGATAAAACGAGAATGGCTCCATAAATACCATTGATTTTATTTTTATTCTGGGTTTCCTAAATACAATATGGTAGTATCAAATAGATGGAGACATTTTCTAATACTAAAAAAAAAGCTTAGCTTATTACCCTGATATTTATTTCATCTTCTGTATTGTCAGTTTCTACAGCCAAAACATTATTACACTGAAAACTATAACTACCATAAAAGTTATCATTGTATTTTGAGTTAGCATTTATATTAATCCTCTTTTCATGTCCAAAGAACCAAACACTATAATTCAATGGTTGGATTGTTGAGAATTCTGGAGATGCTTCATGCCATATGTACATTAGAAAGTTCTCGTCGCTAAACGTCTTAGTCATGAAACTCGGTTCCTATCTCCATCCTGTTGAGTTCAGTAATCCACCTTCATTTATAAACTGTTTATGACTTCACATATTGTATCAGAATTAAGAACTAAATAATGAATTATATGCATTTAATTTAGTCTCGTACTACAATGTTTTTTACATATTTAATGGTGAAAGTGTCAATTTTTGTGGTAACTAATAGGAGCTATCATCAGTTTATTATTTAAACAAGATCCTTTCAGCTTACAACAGGCTACATTTGATATCATGAAACTTCCATTTGAATTAAAATTCCACCTGGAAAACGAATGTAAACTTAAAGATAAAATTACGTTAAAGAGTGCAAGTGATTTCGCAATTTCATTTATAAATATGAGGAAATAAAGAAACGATAAATTATTTTTAAATACTGTGTCTTCTTAGCAAGATAAGATTTGACCCAATATTTTACAAGCGGATAATGTTAAAAATCACTAAAGACGATTTTTATTTCCAGTTGTTTGGAATTTCGTTTCAAATAATTTTATTCTTACAACATTTCTGCATTTTTTTTTTTTTTCAAATAATGTAATGTGAGGCATCAGTTAATTTAAACTGTCATCTTTCTGACTGTCATCTCTTATTGCAGAAATTATTTGTTTTAATGGTGTGAATAGTGAGGCTGATATTCTAAAATATATTTAAGAAATTGCAGTGAAAGAAACTACAACAACAACATTCAATAAAACAGAATCTAGTAACATTTAGTTGAATTTCGGAAAAGAATTTTAATTTTATTGTAGGAGTTAAAACATCAAGAATTGGGTAATATTCATAAATTTGCAGACTAGGTTGCAGGACTTTCAAAAGTTTAAATAAAGAACATTCTTTTTCAACTGCAGAAGTGCAAATGAACTCAAAAAATGTTTAAATAGTTTTTAATTTATCTGAGATAATATATAGAAAAATATTTAAAAAATAAATTGCTTAATATATTCATGTCAGAAATATAAAGAAAGACGAGTGAAATTAAGTTTAATACAATCTTTCAGATTTCGGCACAATGGTTCAAAAATTTATCAAATTTCGTGTAAAGATAATTCGTCTAAATAAGATTCATCTTTAATTAAATAAACATCAAATGTATTACAGATGCAAGAAAATATAAAATGCTTAAATAATATCAAAATTAAATAATTGAAATGAATAAATAGAATAATAAAATAACTCAATACAGCAGTTTGTAAAGCTGTTTGCATTTTTCTAACAAATTAGTTACTAATATAATTTTCTTTGTGATCTCTCTTATATTTCTAGTTACAGAAATTCGCTGCAAAGATATGAACTAATTTTAAGAAGAGGATCTAGTTTATACTGATTGACTGTGCAAAGCTGAGACGGACTATTTCCACGGTTGTTGTTTCCTAGCATTTGTGTGGTATTGGGAATTTAAATTTAGGTATTTACGGGAGAATAATAGTAACTCAGAAAACTTTATTTACGTCGGTAAAGTTTGTTTGAGTTATTTTCGTAGGTTTACTTAGGGCAATAGCCATGTGGGTTTGTCCCTGACTTTGTTTTATTTCAGTGACTGAATTTTACTGTAAACAGATTTAGTTCTCCTTTGCGCATTATCTGATGGCATTACCTTGACGAATTGTCTTTGTTCATCACCTTGTAAAATCCAAGTTAATGTTACAGCAGTTCTGCGTTCTTCGTTTTCTTCTAAACTGTGTGCGTTTATAGGTTGAGGTGTATTTAAGTTGCTGCTTATCATGATAAACTTTCAAAGACAAGATACGGCTTCATGAAATTTTTTATGAGAGGAAAAAAATGAACCGTGCTGTGCCTAGGAATCGAAGCAAGATCATCAGTAACTGGCTAAATGAGTTGACCACTATATCACGAGGATATATGGGCATTACACCCCTTACATTCAAGAAAAAGATACATAGTGTCTCAATAATGAGAAGAAGTGGCTAAAGCATTAATAATGAACTCTTCAAATAAAATTTAGCAAGGTATTATTCTGGCTTAAGCTGCCTCTATTAACGCCTTTTACAGTCTTATGTAGCTTATCTGAAATTGCAAGGTTTTGTGCAGTTTGGATATGCTTGGAGGAAATTTTTAAGCTACAGAACAGAAATTTACATTCAACAGGTAGCAAAACGTTGTTGAAGAAGCTAGAAAACCAGGCCTAACCATACAGATTAAAAAACATTTCTGGTACTGATTTACACGAGTACCGAACAGAAAATACTGTGATTAAATAAAAAGCATTTAAAACAATTAAAAAAAGTCTGCTGAAAGCTTAGTATGTCTTTGCTAAAATATTTGCTATGAGATGATTCTAAAGGATGTTGGGCCAGATTTCAGCACAGTATTTCTCTTACTCTATAAAACTCTCTCAGTTAGACAAGAGTATTTGATTTCGTAAATTGAGAAATAAATTATATACATTTGTAACTATTTAAACTACTTGAAAATTTAAAACACCATTGTTTTTACAAAATTATGCTAGCCCGAAATACCTCGGATAGAAAATTCCGTACAATGTTGTTTACATTGAGCAATATTAAGTTAATTGACATTTTTTTCATTCAGAAAGCTGAACGTTATGACTTGTCGAACAATCGATCATATGGAATTTGGTGAATCACAAAGACATGTAGCTAATTTCTTTGGTAGTTCTCAAAGTGTAAGTTTTTGACTCCAGAACCGATTTCAAAACTACTGGAGGTATTCGTAGTCAATTCAAGGTCCCGCATGTGAAACAATAAAAGTCGATGACTGTTTTCTATCCATAACAGCTATTAAATCAGAACAAGAAATGCCATTTTGTTGGTAAGTGGCATTTCTTGTTCTTGTTCAAAAGGCTTTTCGAAAGCGAGATTTTTTAGGTTACAAGACGTAACTTGTCGATGCAAACCGAGTGAACCACTTTTATCATTATAGTCTAAAGGCTTATAGTTTGTGTTTAATTAAAACAGTAAGACGTCATAAAGTGCGGAGGTACTGGGCGGATGAACATCTCACATATGGTAAGAAAGAGTTTCTCTTCACACACCAGTCAGAATTCTGTTCGAAGCCAGACGAACATCGTACTTTATATAAGGAAAATAATTCCACAAAATATAAGCGGAGAACTGATGATTCGGAGTGGAACACGTATAAGCAAATACATGGATCTTTACATCATAGAATGGCAGTTTGAAGAACAGAAATTTGAACGTGAGATCGTTGGACCTCATGCTTTTGTCATGTGCTGGAGCTACCGGTCTCGTGTTCTTTTTAAGGGACGATAGGGATCGATGGCCAAGTCCTCCTACGACACTTCGACAGCTAGAGACTGGCCTAGTTTGTAAAGGAGTGGAAAAGATTGCCTTAGAATTTCCTGGAAGACAATATACATTCCATCAACACAGATGTTTAACCATTTTAGCAGTTCAGGAAGATCACATACGCTTTTAATATCTCATGAAATCCTCATAAAAATTTATTAAATTTTTTTTTGTTCCCGAATATTAAAACATTTGAAACTTACACAAGTGCTTGGGGCAATACTTTTTCCCTTAAGTTGAATAAAATAATTTTGTAAATCGCATTTTCTAGTGGCGTATATTTGTAGGAAATAGGTATATCCACTGTAATTTTTCTCAAAATCTATGATTGTAATACATGTGTTTCTTCAAAATGTGATTGATCCTTCAAAGGTTTTAGCAATGTATAATCTTTGTATCACGGGCATTTTCGTAAGTTTTAATTATACTCATATTAAAATCTTCTTTAAACCGCAAAATAAGTAAAATTTTTCTTTACTTTTCGGATGAAAAATGTGCTCATTAATTTTAATAAAATTGTGAGGAAATCGACCTTTTTGATTTTAACTCTTCTTGTGTGGAAGTAATTGAAAGGAATGAATTACTGAACAACTTCGACATATTATCATAATAAAGTGTTAACTCGAATTTTTAATACCTTTCTTTACTTTTCTGTATTCTTATCACTAAATGATTATAAATTTAAGATTTTATTAAAAGTTTGCTGGAGTTTGCTGCTTTTATTAAAAGAGAACTGGAATAAATAATTGTTTTATATGGTTTTGATTGCTAAATATTAGAACTACGGTTAAGGGTAATCTTTCATACACTTATGAAGTATTTAACGTATTAAAAGCACAAATATTTGAAGACAGTTATTTTGTTTTTAAACTTACTGATATAAAATTATTTGCTATACAAAACTTGGTACTTGTCTTCTGTAGCAGCCTTGGTGAGAAAATAGATTTGGCCCATTTCTGCATTGGTGAGAAACAAAAGTTTAGCGATTTGCGCAACTTCAAGATGTAAACAATTATCGATCTGCGCATGGGCAAAAAATAAACGGTTAATGATCTAACTGGTTTTTCTTAATTGCTTTGGGTTAATATAAACCTTTTCATTACAAAATACTCATAATGTTTGCTATTTTCAGTTTCCCAATAACAGAAAAAATTTTTAGAAGATTTTAAAAAGTATATTTTCCAATTTTTCGTTTATGGTAGTCAATTATGTCATTTAGCAACAAATCGTGCGAGTTACGCCAATGCCATTTTCTCTTGCAAAGTCTGCTATAGAAGACATATACCTAAACTTTTTTCCCTACCTTACTGCAAAATTTTAAACGTAGTTTACTGCTTGACTTAGAGCTTAGCACAGAATTTTATGATTTTCAATTCAGAATTTTTTCTAGTACCTAATGCATTTTATGGAATAAACTTACCTTACTACTTGCCGTATTAGATGTGGCCGTTGCAGAAGCCGTGGCAGCGGCTGCAGCTTTGTTTTCTTTCTTTTGTTTTTCGATTTCGTCTTCGCTCATTTGTCTTGTCATGGGTCTAGAAACAGGAGGAGGAGCAGGAGGAGGCATTTTTGCTTTTCTCTCTTCTTCCTCTTTCTGTTTCTTCTGCTTAACTTCACTATGATGTAGCCTCTCCATTACATGTGGACTGTCCAGTATTTTAATAACCCCGCTCAAGGGCCCTTTCGTGGCATCCTCCGTTTCTGTTACATGATCTCTAATTGGTGATATGTGACCATCTTCAGGGATTCGGAATGATGTTCTGTTCCTAGAATATGCATCAGCTTCATAGCTATCACTTTCGTCAATAGTTTCTCGCGATGAGAAACGACTTTTCTGGTTGCTCCGCACATCGTCGAGTTCCTTTCTCCAGGAAGAAGGTGAATGCTCCCTATTGCTGTCCCCTTCGCTGCTGTCTCTGTCCATTGCAAATCTTTCTCTAAATCGCCTCGATAAGGGCCCCATGTCTTCATTCTGCATTCTGTCTTTCTTTTGTGATTGTCTATGTGATGCTAACCTGTGATCACTCTGGCTTCTGGATAAAGCATTATTTTGAGGAGGAGTCAGAGTAACTGTTGGACCATTTAAATTACTAGAACTGCTACTGACTGTGTTAGAAATATCTCCGTTACTTCCAGTGTTAAAACATTCGTCGTTCAGTTTTACTTCGGCAAAGTCTATTAGCGTTTTATGTATGACATCTGGATCGGAGCGTGGGTGAAATTTCACTTTTCGGATGCAATCAGTTGGATCTGAATCGAAAGCTCTTAGAAATTCGAGAGTCTTTTGGAATATTTCTTTATAGTCTGTGAGTTCAGCGTCTGTCCAATCTACACCATTATTAACATATTTATCCACTAAATCACAGTTGCTGTTAACGTTGTTAAGTTCGATTTGGAGATCATGCTCAAGTCGTCTCATATTCTTGAGTTCAGATTTCAAGTAGATATCTAGATGATGCTTTAATTTGGCTTCCGTGTCCAACAAGTCTCGATTATATCGACGTACAACTTCCTCTATTTCGTCTTTTACCTGAAAGTATTAAACATATGTCAGGAAATATGTTATTGCTGATTTCAATAAACATCAAATTTACTATAAAAAGGAAACTAATACTTCATTGGTGAATTTAAGTTCGATTAATTATGCTTTGTTAATCAGCGAAATTCTTTTTTTAATCAGCAACTTGTTTATGTAAGCATATCGTGGGTTTTGTTTTTTTTTATAAATTTTCATTTTAAGTAAACATATAAATTTCAGTTTATTGCATTAAAAAATTTACAGCTTTAAGTATTGAAAACTCCAAAAAATGCAAAAGTAAAATATCTGCGATGATTTCAACAAATGTGGTGAATGTTTAAGCGATTTTGTTTAAAATAAAGAGTTTCATCTCAGCTCATTAACAATGCAAAAAGAATTACAATTCGCGGTGTAAGCAAAGTTTAATCCTCTTGCTGTCTCCCAGACGCTAGACATAAAAAAACACCTTTTTCGAAATTCGCTGTTATTCCAGTAGTTATTATTATTTATTTGTTTTTTGTTAGAAATTTGTAATATGAAACCTCTCAAATCATAAAATTAATTTCAGTAGAAGCAGAATCTTACACAGAAATTATTTGGGCAAAGGAAACTGAAATAAAATGGAAATTAGTTTTGAAATCCGAATAATTAACACAATCTCTGTATGAAGTCGTCGAAAGAGTATCTAGTTATGGAAAAGTGTGTATGTAGCAGTGTAAGGAAAAGAAACATGTCAGTCTCGGATTTAACTATCGAATTTTAAAGCTGGCAAAAATTCAGCTTCATATTGATACTGACTTAATAGAAATCCTCTAAGCATTCCGAATGAGGTAGGCATGGGATCCTTGTTCTTTAAACAAGGAAGAATATTCTGTGCTGTACCGCCGAATACATCATTTAAGTAAACTGTAATATCCTAGCTAGAATAAAGTTCTTTGAAACCTACAATACTGAAGGACTGTGTAGCGACTATTCGCTGAGTTCTTGTACTTAAATAACAACTCTAGGTAAAGTACCCTTTTATTCTAACTCAAAATTAGATTAACAGACGGCCTGTCTTGGGCGTGCAAAAAACTTCCACTTGGGCTTTAACTCAAAACAGAAAATATAAAACTAACTAATGTTGAATAGACTTAATCAAGCGAAGCTGCACAGAGTCAATCTCGTGTAGTTGGCCCTTAATTAAGAACGATCGGCCTAAGCTAACAAGCATGTAATACGTACGGCTGTAGAACAGCTGATGACAACAACGTGGCCGAAAGGTAGAACACGTTCTCCTATTGAAGGAACTCAGGCCTCAGCTTAAATAGTAGTTTCCACCCTGTTTGTACAAAGCGTAATACAGAAAACTCATTCTGGTAGGAAAATGGAGGTGGAAAAATAAAAAGGTAAAGGAAAGGCTTGTCTTAAAATAAAAATTAACTATTAGAAAAATAACAAAGCTCTACAAAACGAATATGCTAAACAGGAGAAGGGAAGGAAAGGCAATGTAGGGTTACCTGTAGAGCAAATTAAAAATCACGGGAATACAAAATGACATAAGACATTTAAAAGCTTTTGCAAATACTTGATTAGAATTGATCGTTTTAACGATCAAGTACAAGAAGTATCAAGTACAAGAAGTTTTAACGATCAAGTACAAGTAAGTACAAGACGTTTCCAAAGCACGTCTTTAGTTAGCCAATTTAGCCAATTAGATTTCTCTTAACTTATCTGATTACAACAAACTTTGTCAACTTTAGTTGAAGATATAAGCTCCTATTCAGTTTCCTTATTAAAGGCACACTGAAAATATTAGAATATCAAATTTTCTGAAGGCCAATGGTTAAGGAATGCTAAAAATTAAATTAAAATGTAACTTTTTTTGCATTAATTTCTGAACGCGTTTGGCGTTTGAAAGCGGTAAATCATTGGAAATAAAGTATGCTATCGCCCGGAGTCGGCCATATGGTTCTTAAATAACTGATTATTGCACTACAAAAACACGTTGGGTAAATACCTTAATACTGTTCAAGTTTTTTACAAAAGTGAAATAATATAAGTTATGAAATTAAGATTTTTCTAATGGGTTGCATTTGCTTGCATTTTTGAGTCAAAGTTAGCAGCTCATTTTCGCATTATCGAGAATCTTTTAATTGACGTTCACTTAAATCCTGTGATGAAAATAACATAGTCTCAAGAATATCATACTATAACCTTATAAAAAAAACCTAAAAGCTGTTCAGCAAAATTAAATCATTGCTCTACGAAGCATATATAGTATGTGGTGATAATATCACTTACCATATTAATGTATGAGATATGAAATAATAGAGCAATTAGACTCACTTTTGTTATTATTAATTAATGGGAATGCTTTTGCGGTGTAAATGCAAAACCTCCATTGGTGCACAATATTTCTTTTTTCATGCCGCATTATTTTTATTGACTTTCACTGTAAACTCTAAATAGTTTAATACCTCGGTAGAGTCTTTAAAATTAAAATTCTGAGTCCCTCACATAAGCGGTAAATTCATTGCTGATTACTGTGATTGAGGTGCATCAATCAACTCTTGCATTAGATTAAACAATTAGAGGTTCAATTTAATCTCTGATAAGGTCTGTATTAAACCTAGTAAATCAAAACTATCTATAATTGTTTTCCGATACAGAACGCAAATCAGCATACAGCTCAAAGTCTAACAAAACAAAAATTTAAACTAAGAGTAAAATAATCTAAACTGACTATTTTAACCATTATTATTATTTTTTTCGTGCTTTCTGTACATTAAAATTACATTCAAGAAGAAATGAAATAAAACCAATAAAAACAGCTAACAAAAGTTTTTCATTAAATTTCTTGGATGGATTAATTCTTACATAGATTCTTACTTGGATTCTTACATGGATTAATTTTTAAAATGTAACGTACTCATAACATTAATTCAAATTATAATAATTAATCTTTAATTAAAAAATCTTTCCATCCTGCCCAAAAAAATTGCAGAGTATCGTAAATTCACTAGTGAAAAGCAACACAGATAATTTTCAAAAATTTAATGTTAGTTGCAATTGAGATAGTTACCTCGCGGAAGAAATGACCGAAGTGCCAAATTAAAACGTGGTAAATTAAATTAAAAAGTTCCATATAAAAGTATATGGCAGCTGCCAAGTTGGAGATTTGCCCCAGGTATTAAAATTCGATCCGTGCGTGATTTCCACTTGGCACTGTACTCTATAAACAGCTGCATTGTTAAAAATATTCTTGACATATTGTTGTCGTTACCACCATGTTGAATTCAAGGTCATATAATACTGGCATCCATATTCCGTTTCTCAAAAATTCTGCACCGATGTGTGTACCTCTGTTACTTAGACAAGGTCTCCTGATAAACAGTATTAAACTAATGATGTCCAAGAATTGCGATGTTGATCTCCACTAGCTGTGAAATTATTGTCTCGTAATTCATCTCAAATGATCTTTCGGTTATTTATTTATTTATTTATTTATTTTTTTTTTTTTCTAGATCTCTTACGGTATCGTACTTGAGATTGTTCTCATATATAAATATATTCAGTTCCTTAAAGTTTCATTTCAAGTGTTATAAATGCATCTCCCTTCATCAGAGCGATCAATGCAGTCATTGTTCAGAGTAAGCAGCTGATTAAAATCTTGAAAATATTTCATGCAACACTTGATTATAACTTCTAATATATTGTTGCGTGCGTACGGGTTCGTTATGAAATGAACGCACAAGTCCGATGAAAAATGAACAAAAATTTATTATTATCACAACAAAAATGCTTAAAATTTTCTCAAATTATCATGCAGTATTACAATATCTCACAGTAGTTATCTTTTAACTACTCAAATGTCCAATAGAACGTAATTCAAAACAGCTAAAGAACGCTAATCCGCGAATTCGCTACAATCAACAAGAGCAGTTTTCTAAACAACAACAAACTAAGCAACTGCTACAAACTGAGATGTTTTCCTCCTTTTATAAGATTTTAAAATCACGCGCTAGAATTTTCCAGTACTTTCTCGAAATCAAAAAGAGATATTTATTTATTTAATGCACGCGCTCTTGTATTTTCAATTTTCCGGCTTAGCTTTCTTTTAATATTCGTCACGCGCTGCACTGCGCGAGAAATAAAACCATTTAATTTATAATTGAACTAACATTAGCTTTTTAAATACTAAATTCGTAACAATATTATAGAGATGTTACACAAAATCTATATTGTAAGTAGGAATATTGTGCATTCTTGCTTCTTCGTATTTTATGCTGTATATTCACAAATAAATGTACACAACGTATTTCACGGGAAAAAGAATAATGTTGGAATAAGTGGAGATGAGCAGATAACAAAGAAATTAACCGGAGACACATGAGGACCGGACAGTTTTTCAAATAATAAAGAGCAAAAAATATAATAATACTGAATGATGGTTTTTATGATAATCGTGCAAACTTATTCAGATGCAATAGAAAACAGTAAATTGCGTAATGATGCTATGCTTTCTGGCCATGTCATAAACTAACAATGAGCTGTTGCTGTTGGAATATGTGTTATAAGTGGGTGCTTTATAAAGGTACGCTTTTTAAGTTTCATGCTTTTAAACAAAGAGCCGAACATTTTTGAAAAAAACTAGATTAATGCGGGTGATTGAAGATATAAAGCGAAGTTCAAGCAAAATTCTAACTATTGCAACGACTGTGAAACAGACCCTCAATTAAACGGTTTGATAAATATTCACAAGAATTTCTACCTACAAACATTGCATCTTTTATCCAGCTATGAAGATTTATAGGAATATAAGCTATTGAACAACAGCAAATTTACGAACCCCATTTGCCATGAATTTGAAGAAAATGAAATGACATAATTCTTCTCAAATACAGAAAGTTAAGTTGAAAAGTTAACGTTTTCGAAATGATGCAGATCGTTACATATAGTTGAAGAGTGATAAGAAGTAAGACACTATACATATTTTACAAGCCCAAAAGAGCTATTAATCTCGGAATATA